TGTTTTCTTTCTTTCTTTCTTTCTTTCTTTCTTTCTTTCTTTCTTTCTTTCTTTCTTTCTTTCTTTCTTTCTTTCTTTCTTTCTTTCTTTCTTTTTAAATCCCCACCAAGCCTTGTTAAAGCTCCAGCAGGGAAATAGCCCAGACTGAGCAAGGCATACAATAGGTCCTCCTTAAAACCTGGCTTTTCTATTTCTTTTCTACACCACCTTTCCAATACTTTTAAGAGATGCTTCTTCCCCTCTCCCCCATTATCATTCCCTGATGTTAAGCAGCAATTATTTACTTTACAACAAAACCTGGGGTCGGAATGAGGGCAGGCTGTAATTTAATCTGTGAAAACCAGGGGCATTGTCCTTGAGTGTGGGGACAGCAGAGTGTAGCCCAGGTCATTATTTCCTGTTCACACTCACTGGACAAACGTTATTGCTTCCTTCTTTTGCTCTTCCTTCCCTCCTCCTCCTCCTCCTCCTCCTCCTCCTCCTCCTCCTCTTCCTCCTCCTCAGTCTCCTCCTTATATACCTCCCTTTTCTGTCTATCTGTCTAGGCCACACACAAAAAAAAAAGAAAGAAAAAAAAAAAAACCACCACCACAACCACAACAACAACCATACCAGGATCCCCACTTTAAAGAAAATAATTCAAAGGATAAATACAATCTTGGAAATTTTCAAAGTTAATCTGAAATTTTCCTAAAAGCTAAGTGTGTCAATTAGACTTGGGTGTTCAAATAACCCCTGGAAACAGTAAGGTTCAAATGGAAGCAACTACTTGTGACAGCATAATACATCTGTTTATTCGGTTTACTATTACAATGGTGACAGGTTAAGAGCACTACATTTCTATCCTGCTGAGATGATAACAATGCACATTTCAGTTTGTAAAGTTCACTGTTGTTAATGATTAAAAATTTTTATTTTAACAGAAGAGTAATTGTATATATATACCGTTCTTAGGAAAAGATCTAAACTTTCTGGCTTATGATCAAAAGCATATTTGTTCATTTGTTTAAACATAAGAGACAGTTTAACTCTTGGTTACTGCTTTTAGAAATGCATGGTATCCTCGAAGCAAATGTGAACAAAACATCTTTTTCAATAGTGCATTCAATTGTTGTATGTCATGTCAGTGGGAATCTGAGAATCCCAGGTTCAGTATTCCAGGACCACTGATACACACTGGCTTACTTAAACAACCAGTCATGACAGGCTTTCAGTGCCTCCTATGTACAGACCAGGAAATCAAAGAATACAGGAAACACGAATGAGTGAAATGCAATCATTTTTGCTTTGATTTTGCTTTTGTCTTTGCTCAGATTTCCGGTGAAGTTAGTAAATGCAGACATAACTGTTGTTCCACTCCATTCCTCAACAGAAGTGACTATGTTAACTGGGTGTATGTAAGAATCACCTCTGCTGGGACCTCGAAAAAGGAAGCAATATCTTCTGCAGTGATTCAAGTCTCTGACTGACATTTCTCAGTTCCAAGTTTGAGTGCTACTTGAACCTGAAACTGAAAAGGTCCCAGCTGGAGTCACACTTGTCACTTTGTGGCTGTCCTTTTAATTGCTTCATGGACTTGAGACAGTCGGTCAAGATAGACAAATCTATCTTTCTCTATATATGTATATACATGTGATTTGTACATAGCAGCACATATACATACATACATACACACATCAAGACAGTGTCACTTCCCCTGTGTTACCTGGAACAGCAGGAAATCAAGTCTTTCACTCTGCACCAACAGATGTTAACCCAAAATTACCATTCATTTATTTTAATAAGACAAAAGCTACAATAAAAAAGTATAAAAAACTTCAAATTTCACTGGGCACAAGCAAAAATAGGAAGGGTCGAGAAAAGGCTAAGAGAATCCAAGAGAGGGAAACTTTTGAGGGGTCCTTAGGGTGAGGAGGGAGCTTTTCTCCACTCCTGCTCAGTGGTTTCACACCCTCAAACCCCCAGAATTCCCAAGAACAGCCTCGTTAGGCGAATAGAGAAAAAGAAAGCAGACACACACGACTTCCAACACCACAAATAAATAAATAAATATGTTAAACAAGACATAACTCATTAGGCACCGCTTGAAAGGCAGGACCGCTCAGGGACCAGACAGGCTGCAGCAACGACCCAGCTTAGGCAAAGGCAGCTGTCACAGGAGGAGCCGGAGCTGAGCCTACAACTTACACCGGAGCAGAAACCGAATCTTTTGTTATTCCAGGGAGGAAACCAAGAGGAGCTGCCCTGCGATTCAGGTGCACCCTCCAGGGTGCCTACGTCATTCACCAGCTGAAAGCGCCCCTCACTGGGACTTTGGAACCCAGGGCTCAAGTTCTGAGCTCGAAGGGGGGCGGGCGAGGACGGGTTTCCTATGATACCCATATCCACAACCCAGGAATATTACAAAGTTGTCCTTCTGCTTGCTCTCAGCTCCCCCCCCCCCAATTTTGTGTCCTCCAAAGGAGGACATGGATGGAGCTATACCGAGTCTGGGGTTCTGCGTGCACGATCTTTTCTTAAGCACCTAGCTCTGCTCTAGGTGGGGTGGAGCGGAGGGAGGGAGGACCCAGGGAAAGGTGAGCCTTCTTTGAAAAGTTGCCTGGTCATCCTCAAGCTGGGCTTCCTTAACAGTAAGGCTGTGCAAAGGGAGAGCAGTGATTGGGGACAGTCTGATACTTGCTCTGAGCAGAGTCCGGCCCGCTGACCTGCGCAGCGATCAGGGTTGAGCACAAGCTGGGGACTCAGCCCCAAGGAAACACATGGCGGTAACCGTGGCTCAGCTTCAAGAAACAGAAATATCGACTTGCGAGGGTAAGGGTCAAACTGAGTTGACGACATTAAGTTTGTGGTTTGAACTAGCAGAACTGGGGGCGGGGGTGGGGGGGAGCATCGAAGTTACTGGGCTTGGCGAATGGAGTTGTTCAAAGTAGCAAGCGCTGTGTGGGAAAAAGGAAGGGCTGAGAAGATGACCCGAAAGCCTTCCCAATTGACCCACAAATCTCTCCATTTTACCTTGGTCACATGGCTTTCCTAGGTCCGGCTAACCAGGCGCTCTACTACAGCGCTTGGTGTCCTGTTATCATTCGCTCACGCCTGCTCCCCTCTCCCCCCTTTCCGGCCACTCTCCCCCTCCCGGCAGTGCCCGGCCTCAAAGCGTGCTGATCCTGGAAGCGCAGGTGCCATTACGGAAAACGCCTCCGGATTCCAGGTTCTCGGGCTGGAAGTCCTCCACACTGTAAGCGCGACTCTTCAAGGCGGTGGCGTAGTAGTCGACTGGTTCTTCCGCAGCGTTGTCCATCCAGCTGAGGCACAGGATGCGCTGGAAAGAGCGCTTGAAGTTGTCCGACAGGAAGCCGTAGAGGATGGGGTTGGCACAGCTGTTGGCGTAGCCGAGGATGACAGACAACTGGCTCACGGTGGCGTCGTCTTGCTCAGCGAACACATTGACCAGCTGTACCACGTAGAAAGGCATCCAGCAGATGACAAACACCATCACCACCATCATCACCATTAAAGTGATCTTGCGCTCTGAGCGCTTGCGCTGCTGCCAGCCGGCCTTGAGGGCCACCATGCGCATCTTGGCAATGATGAGCACGTAACACAGGCAGATGGCCCCGACAGGCAGCAGGAAGCCCATGAGAAATGTGTATAAGACGAAGCCCACCAGCCAGCGCTGGGCGGGCTCGGGCATGAGCATGTTGCAGGCCACGGTGCCGTCGCTGTTGGCGGCTGTGCGTGAGAAGACCACGATGGGCAAGATAACCAGTAGAGACAGCACCCACACGCCCAGGTTCACCACCTTGGCTACAGTGGGCCGACGGTAGCGCGCTGCCTTGATCGGGTGCACCACAGCGACATAGCGATCCACACTAAGCACAGTCAGACAGTAAATGCTGGTGAACATGTTGACCGCGTCCACGCTGAGCACAAGGCGGCAAAGTAGCGCGCCAAAGGGCCAGTGGCGCAACAGCGTGGAAGTGACCAGAAAGGGCACGCTGAGCATGAGCAGCTCATCAGCAATGGCCAGGTTTAGAATGTAGATGTTGGTGGCGGTCTTCATTTTGGCATAACGCAGGATCACGTAGATGACCATGGAGTTCCCACACAGTCCCACCAAGCATACCACGGAGTAGATGAAAGAGATGAGAATGGCGCTACCCTGGCCCTCGCTTAAGGTCCCGTTCTGGGAAGCGTTTCGTCCCGGCTCCTCCATGCCGTCCGCAGCGCCGGCCCCGGGGCCCCTGCTGCAGGCGCCTTCCCCGCAGCTGCCTGGACTGGGGCTAGGAGAAGAGGAGGGAGAGGAGGCGGTGCCATTGGGGAACATCCCGGCTGAAAGGGGCCGGTGCGGCTGCGGGCTAGGGCGCTCACCTTGCGCCCTTGCTGTCTGCGCCCTCCCCGAGCTCAAGGCTCCCAGCTCGCAGCTCACCGCCTCCTGGCGCCGCCTGGCAGAGCGCAGCAGCTGCGGCGGCGAGCGCGGCTCCTACCGAGGCCGGCGGGGCGCATCGCCCAGCGGCTGCTTGCGCGCTGTCTCTTGCAGCAGCTCTGTCGGTCCCGGGCACTCCCGAGCGTGGAGAGGAGAGGCCAAGAGGCTAGAGCCGCCGCGCGCGGTACAGCCATTAAGTGGAGTGGCTCTGGACTGGTGAATGATTAATAAGCAGCACCATCGCGTCAGCAGCTACGAAAGGAGGGGGGGGGGCACATAGGTGGTTTATTTCCCCCCTCCCAGCTCTCCCCCTCCCATTTCCAGTCCCCTCTAGGCTCAACTCAAAGATTGCTTCAGATTTCTCTCACAGCATCTTCAGGCACTCCTAGGATGGACCTGAGGAGTTTCTCTACCTTTCTAAAGGGTAGGTACCAGCCAAGAATGTAGATTCTGTCCCATTCCACCCCATAGTAAAAACTAAAGCAAAACCCCAGACATATATGTCTGGAGTTCATCTTCGTTTCTCTCAGTTGCTGCTCTCTTCTGGTGATGGGAGGGACCCCGCGTTTCCCTAGCTGCTCTCCGGGACCCTAAACACCCACCTCCTTTCCGGCTTGGCCAGTCCTTCAAACCTGAAGCCGAAGATTTCAGGCCTTCGGATCCCAAAGTCGATGTCTCCAGATGGCCCTTGCAAAGTGCTTGTGAGGTCTGGCGGTGCGCTGACGTTCTTTGCGAGGTCCAACTCCCTTTGGGGCTGGCCACTGCACAAGTGCCCACGCAAACACTGAGTGGTGGAAACCAGAGCTAAGCCAATGGCATTATGAACACGAAGGACCACAATGATGTGTTAGGGGTGCTGATTTAACACATCCATCGCCCTCTTCTCTGCAGCAGGGAGTGTTAGGGAAACTGAATGAACCACTGAATCTCTAAGGAAGCTTTTAAGAAGCTTCTAGTGCCTAAAGCCCCCCCCCCGCCCTTATCTCCCCCAGGAACATCGACTGCAGAAACCAGGACGAGGGGCAGAGAGCTCAAGAGGAGGCTGGCACTCCCTCCGGAACCTGCCAGACTCGGTATTGGAAATCCATGTAGGTGTTCACAAGGGAAAGATTAGGCTGCGCTTTGTAGTTGCTGCGCGCGCGTCCCTGCTGTACTTTGTACCCTGGAGAGTTGGCGGGGCGGAGGATGGAGGTGGAGAGCACCAAGACCTGAACAGGCAGGCATGCCAGCTTTAAATCTACCGTGACTGGCTGCGCAGATAATCAAACTGTCATCAAGCCCGGGATCAGTGACGAGGCATTTAGACTTCCCCCCGTGGAATACTAAGAGATACAAGGGCCTTGAGGTATGACCCCTCTCTGGTCCAAGCGCCAAAACCATTAAGACGTGGCTATCAAGGCCGGCGGGCAGGCCCAAAGCTCACTGACTTCTTCTAGGAACTGTAGGCTTCTGCTTGGGAAAGGATGTTGATTTTTTTATTTTTATTTTTTTAGGGACCCTGAGATTTCCCAGAATTCGAAGCCTAGTGTCTCTTTGGCCTTGCAATCTCTCCCTGTCAAAAGATTCAGTCTCTTCTTCCTTTTTCATGGATGCTGCTGTATTCCACAAAATCCCTCCAAGTCTTTGCCTGAAGCGTGCCAAGCTCCCCCCCCCCACCTCCAGCCCCACCCTTCACTCCCGGAAATACTGGCCTGCCTTAGTCCAAGACTCACTCCGAGCTTTGCTGCCTGCAATTTTTGCTCCATAGTTATCTTCTTCTCCCTCACTTCTCTCACATCTACTTCAAGAGGTGGAAAATTTGGAATTAAACTCATGGTAGCTGTTTCTCCCAGACAGCCTAGAATGCAAAACTGGACACCGCATTAAAAGTAAAACATTTATCCTCCATGTCCAGTTGCTTGTTCCCAGCAATCACTTTTACATAGGTGCTTCGGTTTCCAAAACTAAGTGCGCCGGAAGGGAAAGAATCACGTGTTGTGTCCAGGGTGGCAGTCAGATTAAAATCAATGACCACAGACTCCCTAGGAGGATGTGCGACAGACGCTGAATTATTCATGAGAAAAGTGTTGGAATGGAATTCGAAATTTGGGAGGATTGGAGCTGTTTAAGACATTGCTTTACCTAAACAAACCACCTTGCCTGAAGTAGAATGTGACTCGGAAGTTAGTTATGTTTCTAAAACAGAACATACAAAACAACATGTATGGGGGGGGGAGGGTGATGTCCATTGGGGGGAGGGTGATGTCCATTGGGTTTAAAAAACAAAACTGAGATTTGTCCTAGAGGAGTATTTTCCTTGCCAACCCCGGACATAGTTTCGATGTCTTTGCCAGCCACTGACCAAAGTGCCCGGCTGTATTTCTGGGATGCTTTTTCAAAGGTCACCATTTAGAGGCATTGGCTTTGATCATAGTGACTGAGGCAGGGGTGGGAGTTAATGAAAGGCAGTTTTGTCGTCAGAGTTTCATTAAATTCACTTTGCAACTCATCATAGAAAAAGAAGCTCCATTCAATTAAGTTATGGCTTCACATACAAATGAAGAAAACTGGACAAGTACATCTCTTTCTGGTTGTGGAAGGTTTTTTGATGATGTACTACTTATTCATAAAGGGGTTTGACAATAGGTTGGCTATAATTTTTAAAAGAAAAAAATAAATGTGAACAAAGAGATGGAAAAATTTGATCACTCATATATACTCGTAGAAATAAAATCAGGAGGCACATCTTTGCAAACAAGATCTTTAATGATCTTTCAAAAACATTATGAACCAGCATTTCAGCCTCTGTCCTTTATCCCTCAAAATGGAAGCCAAGTATTGGAGCAATAACAAAAAAAAAAGATAAAGAAAAGAAACAACCCAAATATCACCAACTGATGTATGTGTGAACAAAAATATGGTACATTAATCGGTAAAAATATTACTCTTCCTTTAAATGGAATAAAGTGCTGATTAGATACTGTACTGGTGAACTTCAAAGACATTTTAATAATAAAAGAAACCAGTCTCAAAAGGCAATAATTACTTGTTTCAGTTCATACAAACTAGTCTAGACTACACAGACAGGAAGTAGATTAATGATTGTCAAGGGCTGGAGGAAGAAGTAACTGGCTCAGGTATAAAGTTTCTTTTGGGGCAAGGAAAGTATTTTAGAATTTAACAATGGTAGTGGCTTCGGAACAGTGTGCCTATACCAAACCCCCTTGAATGACACACTTTAATGGCTAAAATTATGGATTTTATGTGAATTTTATTTCATTAAAAAGCATTTGAGATGGATATAGGTCATGCTTCTTTTATTAAACCTCTTCAGTCATGTATGACTCATCATTGTGTCTGTGACTCTCTGCCCCAGGAGCAGATAAAGCAAAAGGCACTTCTAGACTAAGCAATGTGTAGTTGGGACCCAAGAACCCTGTCTACTGTTTGAACTGATAACTCTAAGGCCTTGAAAAGCTGCCCATCCTCAAGATCTCATGTCTTTGGTGACCATCTTTTCCTGTGCCTCTTCCAAGCTACAAACATCTGTAGAGAGGAAAAAGTTGTTTTGTTTTTTTTTTCTTAAAAAGACAAGAATGAAAAGGCCCACATAAGAATTGTAGGTCCTCAAGCAGACTCTTCCTTCCATCATTATAAAACTAAACTCCCCTGTGCAGTCCTGAACCTGGTGTACAGTTGTTTATTAAATCCATCACACTGTACTGTTGGTTCATATCTGTTTGTGTATACCCTGATGTAGAAGCTTTTTGAGAAGAAAAACTGTTTTATTGAGGTTTCTGTTCCCAGAACCTAGCAAAATACTCGAGAAACTACCCTAAATCCGCCTTGTTCTTTATTTTAAAGATACTTCCTTTTTCTGTACTAGCCCATGAATTGTAGATATAAAGATGTAAATATGGGTCTTTAGAAGAACTTGGATGTATGGATGATATCATCATAATTAATAATTCCTCATACATCTAAATCATTCTGAAAATTTTCCATTTGCATGTCCTGTATCAACAATTATAGTGCTGACCATTCATTGATCATTCTTGGTCTTAAATTTCTTGGCAGGGAAAGGGATCTGGGAAAGGAGTAGTACATGCTTTAGTAGCTAATGATGGCTATTTAATAGTATCATGCAGTGTGAAAGCCATTATACATGGAAGATCATTTCTTTTTAATTGTAGTCCCGAGTCTCAGTTGGTTTGGTGAAATAGTAATTATCACAAGCTCAAACTCTTTGTCTGTCAAAAAAAAAATTGCTAATGTGGTTTTTCCAGTTGGAACCTATGTTCTAATGCATTTCAGGGGCAAAAGCACTTCCTGGAACATACTCTGTACTCAGCAGCCTCAGTCATGTTTGAAAACACCTGTCTGGGCAGATGGGAGCAAGCTGGGTGTAAGGGGTGAGCACTACTCAGCAATATGGCCCAAAGTAGAGTATGTGGTACTTGGGGACCATCTGGCATGAAGCAGTTAATGAGATGACAGTCTAATAAGAAAGTTACTAGGGTACAAAGTGGCTATCTGGCTAAACAGCAGCCTTAGACTCCATCTCCCAGGGATGCCCAATCACTTCACAGCAGCCCAGGCAGCCTGTGGTGAAGTTCATCACCAATCTTAGCAAACCCACTGGCCTGCTGATTTTCCTATTGCCTCTTCTGTGAAACAGCGTGGCAGAGTCTCTTTTGTGCTTTCAGAAAAGACACATACGGTGTAACAGCTCATTCTTCCCTATGGATTCTCTGCTGCTGAATAATGCTTCTAAGAACACACACATTCAACACATATACAAAAGTATTCATTATTATTAATGGATAAATAATGGAATAGAAATGGCCACCTGCCACCTGTGTTACTTTGAATAGTTCTTAGCAAGAATACATTTTTTTCTGTAATAAAGCTTTTGTTATTTAAGGACTTTAAGATGGGTAGCATTAGTTTCAACAATTTTATTCAAACCTTTCTTTTACTATTATTTGTCGTCCCCCCCCCCCACCCAGTGGCAATCACAAAAGAAAAATGCTTTCAAAGTAACAAAGCCACATTTTTATTTCTTTTGATACCTCAAATGATGTTTGGTTCTGCTCAGAGCACTTAAATACTTACAGCAACTTACCCATTCCTTAAGAAATGGCTATTCTTTCAGAGCAGGCCACAGGTGTCAGTCAGATTCACCAGCCATAGGAAAGAACACAAAGCCAGGCAAAGGGCTGAGTGTGGAAGAGAAGACAGTTTTGCAGAAGGAAGCTTAAACTGGCAGTACTCTTTTGTTACCGCCACTTTAACATATCTTAAATATGTTAAAACAGGAGTCTGGGCCAGGTTATCCCAGCCAAATCACTGTTACATTCAGGTGTCCTAAAGCACTGAGGTGCCTCTGCCCTCCTTTCCCACGTAGCATGGGAAGACAGGCGGAAGCAGCTCCCGTGACAGACAATCTGCTTTTGCCCCTATCCAGAGGGAGGTCAGAAAACATGAAAGCCCAGTGGAGTCACCTGACTAGTTAGGAAAACAGCTTTTGGGTACTGTCTAGATCAGTCAAGTTTTCATGGCTTCTGCCCTTGGTCTAGGACCTTGTTTCTTATATTAACTTACTTTTATGTTTTGATATTATTATGGGTACAAAATTGACACTAGAGCAGAATAGACTTAATTTCATAGTTGCATGGGGGTATGTTCATATTTTTGTCCTTATTTCTTTATTAGAAGTAACTGGAAATTAATTTCTAAATTCCATTATGTATGAATAATGCAGTTGTAAATATAACTTGGCAATTAATTCATTAACGTAATAAAAAAATTTATTGAATGCCCACTTAGGTGACAGGCACTGTTTTGAGTTACTTTTTGAGTGGCAAAAAGGTTAACCAAATTCTTATTCTCGTGAAGAAGAAAGAGGAAGCAGGTAGAAAACCAGGTATTGTAGCTGCGTTTAGTAATATATCTAAGAAGGAGAAGGATATGAGTGCTGCAGAGTGGTGTAGGTGTGGGCATATTTGACAGGGTTAGACCAAAAGGAAAAAAAGGTGATGCTCGACTGCCCCTCAAAGATGTGAAGATAAAGGAACACACATTTGGGGGTGGGGGTTGCTCCAGCTGGAAGTACAGCACGTGCGTAGCTACTGTGTAGATACCTGCAGGTATAGTGTGGTTTTTGTCAAGTTGGCACACCTAGAAAGAAAGTCCCTCTGTTAAGGAATTGCCTGCATCATACTGACCTGTGGGTATGTCTATGGGGGTATTTTCTTGATTGCTAATTGATGTAGAAGTGCTCACTCCACTTTGGACCTTAGGCATGTGGACCTGGGCTGTATGAGAAAGGGAGCTGAATGTCACCCTAACAGTCAGTAAGCAGCACCCCTCAACAGTTTCTGTTTCAGTTCCTGCTCCAAGTTCCTGCCTTGGTTTCCCTGAATTGTAGAGTCTAACCTCTAAGCCAAATGATTTCCTTCCTCCCCAAGCTGTTTTTGGTCAGTGTTTATCACAGCAACAGAAAGCAATGGCAACATGTAGGTCCAGGCACACTGAGGTGATGCCCCATTGCCCCTCTTGCATCTGTGTTTATTTTGTCTCACTACAATCAGAAGTTAGAACACATCTGGGAGTCTGGAGAGGTAGCTTAGCAGTGAAGAGTATCTGTTGCTCTTGTAGAAGGCTAGTATTTAATTCTCAGCACCCACATTGTGCTCACAACCATCAGGAACTCCAGGAGATCTGCCCTCTTCTAGCCTCCATGGGCACCAGGCACACACATGGTACGCGACATACAGGAAGGAAACACTCATACAATGAAATAATAATATATATTTTGAAACATTCTGGGTACAAATTGTGGCTGGTTCCTTTTAACCATTGTCTCCTACAGAGAGTTCATGAAGCTCGTGATCTATCTGCTCAGAACAACAGAA